ATTTCAGAGAACAAAGTTTAGGAAAAATACTTTTTGACAAGGTTAAAAAATTCTTACCCTCGTTCTGTTGAGAAGCCCTACTGACTCCATGCTTTGGAGGAAGCACTAGAAATTTAGCAGGAGGTCCCGCTGGGTTCAAGGATGTGCTTTGCTGACCCCGTGAAGATCCACCCAAATTTGGTGGAGTTATAAGCCTCTGAAAATCGGCATTTGTATGTTTCAAAGAAGTTTATCAGTCGCTAGTAACAAAATTCTCTGAAGATTCCATCTTCACTGAGCATGTTCCAGCCCCACAGAACATGCTTCAGCCCAAGGATACCGGGGCTGGGCAGTACTTTTCTTGCCATTATACCTCCCTGCTGTGGGGGCCACGGTGGCACCAGAGTTGCCCACACAATATTAATTCGGACCTCTTTTGTGTACACATTAGGATACAGTCTTCAACTACAGCAGAACCTCAGAGTTATGAACTCACCCGTCAACCATACACTTCATTTGGAACCAGAAGGATGCAATCAGGCAGCAGCAGAGAGAGACACACAAAAAAGCAAATACAGTACAGTACTATGTTTAATGTAAACCTAACAACAAAATAAGGGGAAAGTTAAAAGAAAGATGTGGCAAGGTAAGGAAACTGTTTCTGTGCTTGTTCCATTTAAATTAAGATCATTAAAAGCAACATTTTTCTTCTGCACAGTAAAGTTTCAAAGCTGTATTAAATCAAGGCTCAGTTGCAAACTTTTGAAAGAAAGAACCACCATAACATTTTGGTTTGGTGTGTTGCCTGGCCCTTTATTTTTTATTGCACACCATCTAAACCCTGCACTGAATCTCTCTCTTAGATACACAGATAGCCCCTAGCACCAAAGTATTGGAGCACCTCACCATCTGATGCATTGATCCTATGAAGTAGGGCAGTGTTGTTGTTCCCCCTTTTACAGATGGGAAACTGAAGCACAGAGGTACTAAGGCCAAAATTGTCAGAAGTGTCCACTAATTTTGGGTGCCCAACTTGAGACTCTCTTAGGACCGGATTTTCCAAAGAACTTAGCTTTATATAGCACTTTGAATATTCAGAGGACAGCTCCCATGTACCTCAGGTGCAGGCTGGGATGCTGACTGCTTTTGCAAATCAGATCCCAAGATGGGTAGCCAGAAAATTAGGAACATACAATTAGTGACCACATGTGAAGGTTTTAGTTTAAGTGACTCGCCCAGCACCACACAGGAAGTCTTTGGCAGAGGCAGGGATAGAATCCAGTTCTCCAGGGCAGTGTTCATCTGCCTTCACTATGAGACCATCCTCTCTCCCCGCCTGCAATCCCCTGCTTCATTCACTACACGCCTTCCGACTTGCGGAAACAAATGCTGCACAGGTCCTGCAGAAAACAGCTGCATTCACTACAAAGCCTTACTTCATTCCCAGAGCCTGGTCCACACAGTGCAGTTAGTGAGACGGGGCCCAGTGGAGAAAACCTGATCATGTAATTAGAGATTGTATCATAATGTACATGCATAAGGGAGCCAAATTAAGGTTGTACAGGCAGTCTTCCTTCAGGCAATTCCTAACTTCGGGGTGCTTGACTGTGCAACCTAATGGACATTTTTATCATAGTGTTTTTTTAAATGTACTACGTAGATTGGCTTGTATGTTTAACAGGTACTGCAGCAAACGCTGATGGGTAACATTTACAATGTGCATGATCAAAGGCTTCCTAGAACAATGACTGCCCAGAGCAGCAGGAGCAGAAATTATCACCATCACTCACCATCTCTCTGGAGAGAGTAAGTGCTCCAAGTAAGCAAGACAGGGGGGTCAGGAGGAGTGTGCCTTGTGCTGGGCACGTAGGGAATGCCACGTTAAAGCTGAAACGTTTTGCATAAGCAAGTCCTGACTCCCAGCGTTTGAGAGCTAAGGATGGTAATTCCCAACGGCCGATGCATGCACGTTGACTAGCTTTGACACAAGCTATCCTAGGATAACATTAATATGTATTAAAGGTTCGGGCAAACTTTATTGGGACAGATTAATTTCAACAGTGAATCTCCGCACATACTGTCTAAACATACACCGCTACCTCAATATAACGCGACCCGATATAACACGAATTCGGATATAATGTGGTAAAGCAGTGCTCCGGGGAGGGAGGGGGACGACGACTCTGCGCACTCCAGTGGATCAAAGCAAGCTCAATATAATGCGGTTTCCCCTATAACGCGGTAAGATTTTTTGGCTCCCGAGGACAGCGTTATATCGAGGTAGAGGTGTACTCAAGTAAAGAGGGGGGGAGCATATGTCACTCTCACTCACCTTGAGCAGGTTTAAAGATAGACAAGCGAGATTTCCAATGAGAGGTTCAGCACATCCAGACAATTTTGTCCCAAGAACCTTTAATATATATTAACCCCATCCCATATTAATTGTGTTGAAGCCGCTGGGAATTACCAGCCATAACTCCCTAACCCTGGCAGTCAGGATGGGCACCTCTTCCTTAGCTTTTCTTTGCTCACCTGGGGCATTTACTCTCCCCAGAGGGGGGAAGAGAGGTTTTGCTCAGCATTATGGTCAGGCTGTTGTTGCTGTTGCCTTGGGACAGCCAAGGGGAAAGGGGAAGGGCCAAAAAGCCTTGTGGAAGTCTTTGGTCACGCGCAATGTTAGAGACTGGCACAGTAGCTAACACAGAGCCGAAATCTCTAGTGTTAACAAGTAGGACTTCAGGAATACGTCTGTACCTTTGTGAATCAAAGTAATTTTTGTATTCAATACCACAAGAGAGTGGAAGAAGCTAAGAAATAACCCAGCCTGACATGATAGACCTTTATGAGAATTTAGCTTTTATAAATAATTAAAAAGTTACTTTCAGGAAAAATATGCCAAGTATTTGGGAAAGGTTCCAGTTTGACAGCTCCGGGAGAATGAAATAACCTAATCATCCCCAGAGCGTGGACAGCAGCAGGGCAAGCTTCCCCATGTACTCCTCCACTACTATGCCTTAAACCTGAGCTGGAAGGATGACTTATATAAACTGTTCCTTCCCCATGGTATGGAAAAAAGTCTACATCAGGAGAGGCTTGCTGCTTCCCTTCCTCTCCACAACCCCCCAGTTTATACTCCTTCACAACAAGCCGTCACACCACAGTGATTTGCTTTCAGCCACGGACCTACTCCCTCTGGAGCCCATCAATGCCTTTGTGTGGCTGAGGTCTTGGCAGAGTGATGCGAGAATTCCCCTCCAGGATTTACTTTGATGACACCAGTGCTCTCAAGCCCTGCTACTCCAAAAGCTAAGAGGAGAACTCCAATTTGGGAACTGCCACTAGGTCTCTTGCATACCACAACTTCTCTTGCCCCTTAGGCTGAAGCCAATGGACTTGTCTTTAGGACCTCACATCTTCACTCCCAACCCCTCAGCTGCTGCTCATTCAAAAAGTGATCCTTCCTTCCTTACATTAAGGCAAGAGTCTCAGGCACCCCACCAGCTCTACACAATGTTGGCGGGCCTGCCAGTGTTCCCTGCCTATCTGCAGTCTGACCACCTTACCTCTGCTGACACTAAACTAAGGGACAGGGCAGTGGCCAGCAGCAAGGTGAGCAGGTCCCAGCAGAAGTGAAGACCAAAGAAGTTCCCCAGTGTAGGAAGCAAGGTGGGGACTTGCTCCTGCAAAGGGCCCCACCCTACCTCCCAGCCACCAGAAACCTTCCTTCCTTCCCAGCAACCCCATGTGACCCCAGTAAATCTGCAGGTCCTAGTAACAGACGTTTGGGAATTAGCTCGTTCCAGAAGGATTAATATTAGTTATATGCCTGAATGATGGCATAATTATTGCCGCTCTCCACCCTTTAGAGGCTACCTGGCAGCTCTACACATTAATACATTTCAGCACGTGGTGTAAACTCAAACAAATACGGTTATGTTTGGGGTTAACACAGTCACAAGATCTTGTGTGTCATGTGTTGGTGAGCACAAGCAAACAGTGAATGACCCACCTCTTAAACCGACCATTCCCTGTTAATCATTGTAAGAGTGCTGTGCTACCCAATCAGCTCCTTTAGGAGTTACAGATTTGCATGCATGGTTTCCTGCACATTTGTGAACATATACATTGTGATGCCTTGAATACTAGCCATAGCCAGCTTAATTGTGATACTGGAACAGTAGGATCCTAAATAGTGTTCAAACAGAAGTGCACCTTGGAGGAACAGTGTACAACAGAGAGAGAGAGTGCACCAGGCGTCTAATTCTTTAGAAATGGAGCTTTCCTCCCAAAGCTATTTTATTTTTGCTTGGCCATAAACACAACTAGGAAATGTCTATGACATCCCACCACTGGTGGTCTTAAGCTAACCAGGGTTGACCCTTGTTAACATGTGGATGGGGAAACTCCAAGGGAAATCCAGGGTGCTGGTGCAAGAAGTTGTGTGGGGATTTGAGGTGGTGAGGGTGCTATAGGATGATGTGCAGCGGTTAGTGCCCTGTTTTGGGGACAATGTAAGACAGGGTTCCGGAACACTTCCAATCACTAAAGAGCCCATAACTTTTCCCAAAGATTAAGCTGTTCACCCTGATGGCCCTGGCTAACTATTAGTTTAGGTAACTCCATTCTGCCTCCCTGAATTCCCCTATTAGGTTTCACCCCTAAGGTATTTGCACTGTAGTGGCAGGAACCGAAATATGTAGAATTTGTAAAGTGATCCGGGCCTCTGAGAGATGAAAATTGCTGTATTCATTTAAGAAATTAGAAATTGCCAACCAATGTTTTATATTTCAAATTCCATTCACCTAACGAGGAATAGTTCTACATTTTTAATCATTTCTGGAGCTACTGAGAGTATCATATAATAATCAGGTGTTGATCGTCAGAAAAGCTGCAGCAGGATGTATAGCTTTGTTGTAAGATTTGTAGGCCAGAGAAACCTGTACACAGGGATTGTTTTTTGAAGGAACTGAAAAGGAAGAAGGTAAAAGAGGAAGAAGAAAAAAAAAAAAAGAGGCTCTTACTTGTAACCAAGGCCCATGTGCTGCATAAGGATGCTCCTCTGTAGCAAAGGCTCCTTCTACTCCTGTCGATACAAATGTGATTGCTGTATCCCCTGTAATACTTTTATATGTAAAGTGCCGTCCATGTAACAGCCTGCCCCTGGAGAATAGAATACACATACATAAACGGAGGTCATAAGCAGGTCAGTACAGACCCACCACAAGATATACACTGGAGCATCTGTGATCACCCTTAGGAATACATCACACCCCAGTAACCACTAATTCTCAGGGAATGTACGAAGGACTTTCACAGCCTTGTCCCTTAGTGCGGGTCACAAGTCTCTTCTGGAACTCTGGAAGTGCACATGTGCTCTCACACCCTCAATCCCAAGGCCCCACTTCCACATTACAATGCTTCTAGCCGAGGAAGACTGATTGGGACTTTATTAGCATCCCATTTGCACCAGTCCCTGCCACTGATGCATAAGGCACAGTACTCCCAACTCCATCAGCTCAGAGAACACCAGCAGGACCGAGTCCAGAATCCACATCTCTTCTGTGGTGGCGCAAAGCAGTCCCACTAGGATAATAACTTCTACAAATTAATAGCTCATGTTATATATTAACCCATTACCTTGTAACTTATTAAATTTAGTCTGTGCCAGTGGACTCATGTTAAATAAAATGTTTAGGAGAAGAGATACATGTTTGTTCATCTATAATAAATAATAATTCATTGCGACAGTGATTTCCATGTGGTAATCTAAAGTCACACCAAAGGCATTGAAGTACAGAGCCTCAGGGAGATGTGAATATGTTATCCCCATTTTACAGCTGGAGCTAATTAAGGCGCAGAGAAGTTAAGTGACTTCCCATGTGACCTGGTGTAAACAACTAGGGATAGAATCCAGATCCTATTCCCAGCCCTGTGCATTAGCCACAAGTCTATCTTTCGTGGACATCCAGGAAAAATAATCTGAATTAACAATAGGCATGAATTTGAAGTGGATTAGTTAAATCGTATTAAATCCCTGCGTGGATGCTATTAATTAGAATTAAAGTGACCTTAATTCTGAATGAGGATGTTCACACAGGTGTTTAATGCGGTTTAACTAATCCTCTGCAAATTCACACTTTTTGTCATTTGGATTAACCTTCCTGGATGTACCCATGTAGACAAGTCCTTAATTTATGATGTTGCACAATTCAAATCATAAATATCTAGTGATGTCAGGCTGACCAGTACATCTGAGAGAAAAGAGTTTAGAGGCAAGTTACTGCATCCTTTATTGCATTTTTAATTTTAAAAGTAGTCAACAAAAATTATTATTGTTAACTCAATAAGAATTAGTGGCCTTCAGTTTACTCTGAAACTCAAAGACCAGAACACTCTTACAATTTCTGTCAAAAGCATTTAAACAAAAAAGTCACTAGCTGAATTTTCTGGAGATTTAGACAGGTCACTGACTGGTCAAAACCCTGATCCCCTCCTTAGGTGCAACTTCTCAAGATACAGCCTTTACAGTATACGTGCAGTGCAACATGTGCATTTAGGGATACGAATGACAGAATTTGCATATACAAAACTGTGTGCACAACTGATGGCAAATGTTTGCCTATAACTGCACAAGTTAAAGTTAATGTCTTAAGGGATTTATGTGACAGGACCGTAGGAGCCATCCCTTAATTTGATAAGATACTTAGCAGCATTAGTCTGATCAAAAAACTCTGCTGTTTCAACCCCCAACATAAAACATGGGAAACAATTTTGGCATGATGAACTTATGTGCACAATAGAAAGACAAGGTGGATGAAGTAATATTTTTCATTGGACCAACTTCTGTTGGTGAAAGAGACAAGCTTTTGAGCTACACAGAGCTCTTCCTCAGGTCTGTGGATAGTGTCATCTGTTTCTAATGTTTTTGGCAAAGTGTCTCAGCTCTGGTCTTTTTAAAATCTATATAGGATCATCTGTATGAAGAAAGAAGGCCACAAGGCAGAACTGCAGCCATTAAAGCAGAGCTCAGAAAGAAACCAGCTCCTCTCACCTTAGACAAAGTGGAATCAGTGCTCCAGACTCCTGGTTGAATTTCAGGTGCACGCTCTCAAGCTGTCTTGTGCGGATTAGCTCATGAGGAATGATAGCTGCTGAGCTCTCACTCTCTAAACTATCCTTACGGCTTCTAAGAGAAAAAACAACGTACACCTATTTAGAACCTGAGACCCACATTCCAACTATTGTCAGCCTTGTGAAAAGACAGCAGAAGAATTCAGTGATTATTTAGAGCAGTTCCGTGAAAGCTGTCTAACGGAAGGACACAACAACAGCTTGCCAGAAGGACATAGCTAATTTGCAAGCCACCCGTGTCTCCATTTTACAAGTGCGGCCCACAGACTACTGATCCTAGCATGCAATGCTTCATCTTGATCTAGTGACCTTAAAAGTTCTGGAAATAAAGTTTAATAAAGAATGGGAGTAAAATTATACCGTGAAGCCAGAAGCATGACAAAATGTTCTGTAAGGTACAATGCTGCATGGGCAGAGGCAAGGCCTGCGGGACCTAGCAGGTCCCCCCACGCCCCATTTCTAGTATTCTTTAAGAAACGGGGCTGTCCGGAAAGCTCTGTGCTGTCCTGACTCACTGCTATAGAAGCTTAGCGTTAGAGACCTATAGTAAAGAGACAATCTGAATCAACCTAACTCTTTTCCTTCATCAGACCAACCAAAGGCTTTAGATGTTGCATAACCAGTTCTTAAACACTCTAACTTCTGCTAGCATTAAGTACAATATTCAAAGTACAAAAGCCACACACAATTCACAGAATATTTGTAGACCGTTTTCCCTTTGAAGTAGAGCTGCTTTAAAACAATGCAGTCTTTATACTATATTTTACAAGGGCAGGACATTACACACGGTAATGTTGTTTAACTTAGAGGTTACATTCTGCAATTACGAACTTCACAAGACAGAATCTTCAGTATAATCAGGTAGATATCTCAAAATACCGGATCATAAACTAAAATACTTTATAAGTTTAAAGAGTAGCATTATAATTCCTTGTGTGTTTGTAGAGAACACAGGAAAAGATGGTGCCTGATCCAACGATCTTACATGCAATAGGAAAACCCCTCCCCCCAAAACACATCAAACAAAAAGCACTGAGTGAGCAGAAGGACTGGGATCAAGGACAGGAACGGGTGGAGACAGCGAAGAGGCCAACTGGCTGGAAAGGGAGGCACATATAGAGTGCCATCAACTTACATGATGTCAGAAAAGACAGGGTTTACATTTCTCTTATCTGTCAATCTTGGTTTATAATATATGGAGATATACCTATCTCATAGAACTGGAAGGGACCCTGAAAGGTCATCAAGTCCAGCCCCCTGCCTTCACTAGCAGGACCAAGTACTGATTTTTGCCCCAGATCCCTAAGTGGCCCCCTCAAGGATTGAACTCACAACCCTGGGTTTAGCAGGCCAATGCTCAAACCACTACACTACAGAATCATTGTATTTGGTTGGGGAGAGGAGAGAGGAAGGAGACTGGCTGACAACACTCCAAGCACCTGTCCCTGACAGTTAAAACGTGCTTCTAATTTCATCCTGCAGGGCAGACCAAACAAACAATGTTACCATGTCACAGCACAGTTCAGGAACATCATTCAAATATGGCTTGACCCTTTCTACGCTGCAAGATGGAGCCTTGTCTCAGATGCAGAATGTGAGAATCATGATGTAACAGCTTGTCCACCAATGATGTTGATTTGGGGTGTGTCTTCGCTACAGAGTTACCCAGGGCTCTCACTCCCCTCCCCATCCACATCCCTCTCACCTGAGTTTGATGATACTTTAAACCCGGGCTAGCTGGCTCAACTAGGGCTATCAGCTAAAACCTAAGTGAGGCTTTCACGAGGGCTGGTAACCTACTCCCACTCTGCAGTGAGGAAACAGGCTAAACCACTTGAGTGCTGACCGTCTTCCAATGCCTTTCCAAAATTCCAACCCGCCCACCGCCCTCTTGTGCCCAGAAGGGCAGACATGTTCTCCCAGTTTATTGGGAAAGCAGCAGAGCAGCACAAAAGACCATGGTATGTGTCCCCTGCAGCTAGGGTGACCAGATGTCCCGATTTTATAGGGACAGTCCCGATTTTTGGGTCTTTTTCTTATATAGCCTCTTATTACCCCCCACTCCCTGTCCCGATTTTTCACACTTGCTGTCTGGTCACCCTACCTGCAGCCCTAGTGACACACATGGGCGAGTGCAGCACTGGTGAGGACACAGTAACTGGGCTTTGCTAACCCAGGTGCTGATCACCTGAATGCCAGTCACCAGATTAACTCTGCAGTGAAGACACATCCCTTTGTAGTCTACCTGGCATCTAAACCTGAGAGTTTAAACTGGTTCAGCAAACACATTTTACAGCTCCATATAGGTGGGGCCTTAAAGCAGTGGAATGGGCCAGACACTGAAGAAAACATTTTACAGTTTGATTACCCAAGAAGTGCATGGTTGATTAATGATCAATTGACCTTAACCTAAGGTTTACCCGAACTTCCTTATCAGATCTTATATACACATTATGCTGTGGGAAAGTTAGGCTTTGTCTACATTGCCAATTGAATGACAAAACTTTTGTCTTTCGCAGGTGCTTAAAAAAGCCCCCCGCCCCAAGACAAAAGTTTTGCCGCAGCAAGTGGTAGTGTAAATGGCTCGTTGTCGGCAGGAGTGCTCTCCTGTCCACAACGTGAACCCCGGGATGCGTGTGGAAGTATTTTTGTTTACACTGCCCGACTTTTAGCAACACAGGTGTAGTGTAGACAACGCCTTAGCTTGTCATCTAGAGTTTCCAATTATTCGTTACCAACCCCCCCCTCTCCCCCAACAGGATGTCGGCCACCAGAAACATGAGAGATTTTAGACTTTAAGTTTATCAACTCATACGTGCAATTGCAGAATTTGTGTACATGTGGGCATATCCAGAGTTATTCAGCAATTTAGTTAGTAAAGATGAGAGACTGGGTATTGGCCCTTTTCTACCCAGACTGGTTAATGTTTTTTACAGAATAGAATTCCATAGAGTTTGCCACAAACCTAGAGCATGCAAGCTGTCTGGGGTTGGGGCTGGTTTTTTGTTTTGTTTTTAATTCACTAGTCTGTACAATGCCTAGCACAATGGGACTCTGATTCCTGATCAGCCCCCACAGGCTCCAATATACCACCACCACAACACTGTGAAGGCAAGGGCTGGGCTTATCGAAAACTCTTGTTTTTAAATGGCGAATGCTGCTTGTGCCTTACGTGCTCACCAGATGACACTAACTAATGTATAACTTGGCAATACAACTAACAGGTTTTTTCAGACCCTAAATAGTTAAGACTTTACATTAATCAGTAACCAGCCATTCTGTTAAAAAGGTGAACGTGTGAAGCAATATGGCAGTTAACACTTAAGTAACATCAAATAATTAGCAATCTCTTCCGCTAAAAGCCTTTCCAAAATAGTGTTTGTTGTTTCTTTGAAACGTGGGTTGTTCCTCTGATTGTGGTCTGGGGAGGGATCTGTTTATGTTAAAAGAGTAAAGCTGGGGTAGCTGAATCGAGGTGTAGGCTCTGTCTACACTGAAACTTTCTGAACACTTTGTGACATAGGTCGTTCAAGACACGTGTGTCCACACATATGATGTAGTTAATACAAGTCACTAGCCACAGTAGCTATGTGGCCTACATCACTCTATTCCTAGAATCAGGTTGTAACATGCCTTTTGCTGTATAGATGTAAACCCACAACTATGAATGTGTAGCAGAGCTGGCCTATCCCCCTCCTTGCACAATAAGGCACCCCCAAGTGCATTGCCCCCAATGTGGATACTGCTGTTGCTCTGTGCACGCATCCCCAGGGCACTAGCGGGGACAGTTGCCCAGATATTCCCAAAATGCACCGATACGAACACAGGCAGCATGATGGGTGCAGACATTGTGGGGGCTGGGTGACAAGACAGCTACACTGAGGACACAACTCAACCACGGTTTGTTGTAACTGGGTCAGATGAAAGTCCCGGCCTGTTTACAACACACTAGGAAGTCCATATGCATTTCTAGCAACGATGCAGTTGCACCGATGTAGTGCTTCTAATGTAGACCTGCCCGCAGTTCTCTCAGTGTAAAAACCTAGTGGATGCACAAGTAGTTTTTACCTTGATGTAGCTAGTAGAGGTAAAAAACTATCCATGTCTCATCTCTGCTAGGGTTTTACCTCGACATAGCTAACTCAAGGTACAAAACAACAACAAAACGCCTCACCTTTTTTGCAGAGAAAACAAAGCCTTGGATTTGTTTTTAAATTCTGTCTCGGTTTTCCCATCTGAGAAGTGGAGCTACCTCCCTCAATTGCAATAATTAACAGAGTGGTGTTTGTAAAGTGCTTTGAGATGCTCAGATGGAAGGTGCTACAGAAAAGCCAAGAATTAAATCTGACTTTCAGATTATCGAGTGTGCAATGGACACACAACTCTGCAAGAGACATTAACATTCTTTCAGCAGGAATGGAAATCTTTGTTCTGGCCCATAGAAAGGGTGACGGTCCAGATGAGGGGTTGATGGAATTGCTGGGGCGTTATTAAAAAGAAGTTCACGGCGTGGCTTTCCCTGCCATGCCTAGCTTGTAGTTTCAAATTTTAAAGGAGAGTTTAGAAACACTTTGGTTTCTAGCACCAATATCTCCAATTGTTGTTTACCCATAACCTTTCACTTCTCCACCCATCACCAAATAAATCAGGAGCAAAGGCTGGTGTAATTTTTAGTGTTATGACTTAGATCAAGCTGACTACTACGTACATTGTTGCAAACTTTGTCTATTCCAGATTTAATACTTCATCCAACCCACATAAATAATTCTTGTTTCTCTATGTCCAGAAAAAACAAGTCGGCAAAAGCCAGGGCTGCAGTGTTTGGAAAGGCAGCACATTTAAATGTAAGCAGTATACCGGAAATGCCCCAGTTTGAGGACTGCACATCTAGCATTTTATGAAATTGGAGGGGAGTTGGAGGAGATTAAAGCACATTTCCAAGTGATTGAAGACTTGTGGGAGGTGTAAGTGTGGGCAGTTGTCAGATTAATTCTTTAGATGATTAAATTCTTTTTGTTTCTTTAAAGCTGTTTGTAGCTGGGTTTGATGTCTCCT